CCCCTCATTGTCCATCCTGCTCCTCCTGCTGATCCGTCCCCCTCTTCCGCCTTTCCCTTCCTCCGCCTTCCATTTCCACCGCCTGCCTCCCTTCCTTCGTCCGCATCCCCTGCTCCTCCTGCTCCCTCCTGCTGCTGTTCCTGCTGCTGCTCCTCCCCCTTCCTCATCGTCCTGCCCATTCTCCTGCTCATCCGCCACCTCCTGAACGCCATGGCAGGAACTCCCGCTTAGGTTCGGCTGGTGGAAGGAGGACCATCTGGAGGAGTGGGAATGCTTGAAATCTAACCTGCTCATGCTATCCCGGTTTGGGTTCAGGTCCCCAGAGGAGTCCAAGTTTTGGATATGTATATACACATAAACACTCTTTCGAAGAATGAGATTGGAAAAATTAGCCTTCTGGAGGTCCTCATTAAGACCATTTCAAGGTCCCCAAGCAGTGTTTGCACTTTGGGATTCTTACTTCTGTTCTAAGGAACTGTTCGGTCTGGCTGCTATGTGGCCGCCGTTGCCGCCTCGTCGCCGCCCGTCGTCTGGGCCGTGTATTCGGTCTGGCAGCTATGTGGCCGCCGTCGCCACCCCGTCACCGCCTCGAAGCCGCCTGTCTGGCGGCTACACTGTCGCCGTCGCCGCCCCGTCGCCGCCGTCACCGCTCGCCGCCGCCGTCAGATTGCACCACATAGATTGGACCAGTCGATTGCACAGCAGAGATTGCACCACGTAGTTTCTCCTTTCTCAATGAAATGAAGACTATCCGCCCCTCCCCCCAGACTTAACGGGACCCCTTCGCATGTGATTCTGCCCCAATCCTGAAAATTTTTCATACCATCCCAGGAAGGCCGGTACCCATCCCTCATCCTTTGCACAAAATATTATGCGCGCACATTCTTTTACCCAAAATTACTCCGACGGAAGGACCCCACATGAGAATCCTCTGGGCGAATCTGGAAAAAACCCTCACCGTCGTCCTCGTGGTTGGTGAGGCGTCCTGGCTGTCTCTTCTGCGTATATTTATTCTCGCCCTGGCGCGGGCCCTCCCCCCGTTCCCTACGTTGCCCCCGACCTCGCCCTCCTGTTTTGGTTCGGACATTCAGAAAGTGGCCCGGGAGTGGTGTTCTGGGAACACGAAGAACACGAAGTGGCCGACAGTTGGCTCCGGGCATTCAAAATGTGGCCCGGGAGTGTGTTCTGGGAGCACGAAGAACACGAAGTGGCTTACAGTTGGCTCCGGGCATTCAAAATGTGGCCTGGGAATGGCGTTCTGGCAGCGCGAGAGCCCAAAAGTGGCGACAGTTACAAGAATTGGATGACCCGCTCGGATTAACAACATGATCCGCGGGCCCCATAGGGAGGGGGCTCCCGCTTAAGACTTCCTCCCAATTCACTCACAGATGTGGCCTGGGAGTGGCGTTCTGGCAGCGCGAGAGCCCAAATGTGGCGACAGTTACAAGAATTGGATGACCCGCTCGGATTAGTAACATAATCCGCGGGCCCCATAGGGAGGGGGTTCCCGCTTAAGACTTCTTCGCAATTCACTCACAGATGTGGCCTGGGAATGGCGTTCTGGCAGCGCGAGAGCCCAAAAGTGGCGACAGTTACAGGAATTGGATGACCCGCTCGGATTAGTAACATGATCCGCGGGCTCCATAGGGAGGGGGCTCCCGCTTGAGACTTCCTCGCAATTCACTCACAGACGAGGCCCACGGCGAGTGAGTGAGTGAGTGAGTGAGTGACTGACTGGTGATGATGATCATCATCACACTCTCTCACGCGCACTATCATCATCATCATATGTGAGTGCTGATGAGTGAGTGAGTGAGTGAGTGAGTGAGTGGGTGAGTGTGTGAGGGATGATGAGTGAGTGAGTGAGTGAGGAATGAGTGATGATGATGATGGTGGGTTCCTGTTCCTGCGCGGGGTGTCCGGAGAAAACAAGAACCCCACTTTGGATGTGGGGAATCATATAGTTTTCAAGAATCCGTTGCAAAAAACGGGACGAAGTGCACACGCGCGCGTCGTCGCGCGCATGCCGAATTCCTTCAAAACCTTAGGTTTCGTAGGGATATATAAATCGAGCGTTCCAAAAACATCTAAAAACGCATGGCTTTGCAACAAAAGCTTTCAACAAAAGCATGTGTTCGCGCTCTTCAACATGTTCATCAAACGCTACCAAACATGCCTCTCGCGCGCGCATGCCGAAATCGCTCGAACGCCCTTACGCACGTGCTGTCGCAAGAATCGTTTGCAAAAACGTGACGAAATGCACAGGCGCGCGTCGTCGCGCGCGCATGCGGAAATCCTTCACAAACCTTGGGTGTCGTAGCGGGTTCAAAATTGAGTGTCCCGAAAAATATATAATTACTCCGGCGGAAGGACTCCACATGAGAATCCTCTGGGCGAATCTGGAAAAAGCCCTCACCGTCGCCCTCGTGGTTGGTGGGGCGTCCTGGCTGCCTCTTCTGCGTATATTTCTTCTCGCCCTGGCGCGGGCCCTCCCCCCGCTCCTTACGTTGCCCCCGACCTCGCCCTCCTGTGTTGGCTCCGGACATCCAGAAAGTGGCCCGGGAATCGTGTATTGGGAACACGAAGAACACGAAGTGGCCGACAGTTGGTTCCGGGCATTCAAAATGTGGCCCAGGAACGGTGTTCTGGGAACACGAAGAACACGAAGTGGCCTACAGTTGGCTCCAGGCATTCAAAATGTGGCCTGGGAATGGCGTTCTGGCAGCGCGAGAGCCCAAAAGTGGCGACTGTTACAGGAATTGGATGACCCGCGCGGATTAGTAATATGATCCGCGGGCCCCATAGGGAGGGGGTTCCCGCTTCAGATTTCTTCGCAATCCACTCACAAATGTGGCCTGGGAATGGCGTTCTGGCAGCGCGAGAGCCCAAAAGTGGCGACGGTTACAGGAATTGGATGACCCGTCCGGATTAGTAACATGATCCGCGGGCGCCATAGCGAGGGGGTTCCCGCTTGAGACTTCCTCGCAATTCACTCACAGATGTGGTTCGGGAATGGCGTTCTGGCAGCGCGAGAGCCCAAAAGTGGCGACAGTTACAGGAATCGGATAACCCGCTCGGATTAGTAACACAATCCGCGGGGCCCATCGGGAGGGGGTTCCCGCTTGAGACTTCCTCATAATTCATTCACAGACGAGGCCCAAGGCGAGTGAGTGAGTGAGTGAGTGACTGACTGACTGACTGACTGGTGATGATAATGATGATGATGATCATCATCACACTCTCTCACGCGCACACTTATCATCATCATATGTGAGTGCTGATGAGTCAGTCAGTGAGTGAGTGAATGAGTGAGTGAGTGAGTGTGTGAGGGATGATGAGAGAGTGAGTGAGTGAGGAATGAGTGATGATGATGATGATGTTGGGTTCCTGTTCCTGCGCGGGGTGTCCAGAGAAAACAAGAACCCCACTTTGGATGTGGGGAAAAACACATGGTGTGGAAGCCTCTTGGAAGCCTCTTGGAGGCGGTTTTGGGTGTGTCTGGGGGCCTCTTAGGGGGTCTCTGCGGCCTGATTTGGCCATCTTGGGGCCCCCCTGGAGCTTCTGGGAGGTCTCTTGGGGGCCTGCTTGTGGTCTCGGGGTAATATTGTGGCGGAAAGCCCGCGATGTGAGTTTGAGCTCCCCCTCTTGGAGTCCTCTTGGGGCCGTCTTGGGCCGTTTGGAGTGCATTTTGGGCAGTCTTGGGGGCTTCTTGGGTCGTCTTGGGGTTTTCTTGGGGGCTTCTTGAAAGTTTGTGAAGCGATCTTGAGGGCCTCTTTGGACCGTCTTGGGCCGTCGGAAGCCCGAAAAGGCGAGAGAGCTAAAATCTTTCAAAAACAAACGGGGACCACTCTTTTGGGCCTCTTGGGGCCCGCTTGAAGGGTTCTCTTGGAACGCTCTTGGGGGTTCTTGGGGGCCTCTTGGGCCGTCTGAAGGGTATCGAGGGCAGTCTTGGCGCGTTCCGGGGCCGTCTCGGGGTCTTCTTGGTCCTTTTTGGGCGTTTCTCCGGAAAGTTGTTGGTTATTGGGCTGGCCTCCGGCCAGTGCCGCCGATCTGGGGGGGGTGAGATTTGGGGACGTCTTGGAGGTTTCTGGAACTGTCTTCGGGGCATCTTGGGCGGTTCGAGCGATGTTTCGGCGAGTCGGGGCCCTCTTGCATTGTCCAGGAGGCCTCTGGGGCCTCTCTTGGCTTCCTCTTGGGCTATCTTGGGCTGTCGGGGCTCCGGAAGTGGAGTTTTCTCTACCCCCCTGTCCCCGGGTACCGAAAAACGTCGGAAATGACGTCGGAGATATCCCCGTGTACCGAAAAACGTCGGAAATGACGTCGGAAATAACATCCCCCCCTGCAGAGCGAAGCTTGAGCGAGCTCAAGTCCACGCTCTCAGAAACTCACACGCCGGATCGGCGGATTAGGGTTGTTTTGAGCGGAATCACCGTCTTGGAGGCCCACGCGAGCAGCAACCCCAGAAACGCCAGGAAACAGCTAGGAAGTCTGGGAATTTCGTCGCCCTGGCCTTTTTAAGAACCTACAAACCTTCTACCTCTCAGGATTGTATGCGCCTCATTGGGGCACTCCACTACTTGCTGAAGGCAAGGTGACGGACATGTATCGATAGACAGACATGTTTCTTTTTCTGTGTTTTCTTTTTTTTGTGTTCTCTCTCTCTCTCTCTCTCTCTCCATATCTCGCTCTCTCTCTCTCTCTCTCTCTCTCTCTCTCTCTTTCTCTCTTTCCAAAGACATGTGTATATGTATAAACACTGACGCACATACCTGCTAGGACATCCAGTGGTACATAGCTTTGGCTGCCACTGCGTTGCAGAGCACGCGCATGTGCCTGCTGCACTGTCTATGTTGCCCTCTCTTTTCTCGGACCTGCCTCTGCGGAGGCAAGCCAATCCAGCATCCAGCACCCCTCCCTCACTATCCGCCTCCAGCTCCCTCCGTCCCCCTGGAGGGCCCGTGCGGCCCTCTCGCGCCCCCTCTGGACGAGGGTTGCCCCCGAGCCGTTTTGGCTCAAGAGAAGGCGCTGATCAGCGCCCTGGTCGGTTGGTCCCGCCAGCGGTGGTTGGGGGCATTGGCTTTCATGCCCCCCCCCCACAAAGCAGGAGGAGGTGCGAGGAGCGTCGAGGTACGAGGATCAAGGTTTCTGGACGTCGTGTTCTCCACATCCTACGTTTGGGGAGCATTGTCTCAAGTGTGACGCCTCCGCCTCCTCTTCCCCTCCTCTCACCTTCCGCCGCCTTCCCATAGTCAGACACACACTCACAATCACACTCAGGCTCACTCCTGTGCGGAATGCACAAATCCAGTCCCACTTACACCTCAGACTCGTTCACGCTCAGACTGACTTACGACATATGATGCCTCACTCGCTAGTGCTTACTTCTCATGCTTGCCCAGGTGTCCCATGAGTTGCAGTATGCGGCTGAAGCGCTATGGTATCCCAAATGTTGCGAGTTCTTGTGTTCACCTTGCCTCCGTAGCCATTTTGGCTCAAGCCATTGTGGCTCAAGTTCGAAACCTTGCCGCGAGGCTTCGAGCTTGTCCGCAGCCGTGCGGCAGGCTCGGACGGTTCTGGCGCGTGTGCCGTCCACTGAGCTGCACGGGGCGCGCCATGGGATATCTCGTCTGTCTCGTCTGTCGCGATGCTGGCAAGACTTCGTGGATCTCCGACACCAACCCCCGCCAGAAGTGTAAGTTCTGCAGTACCCTTTTTTTTCCTGGTCGCTCCAAAGGACAGGTCCCAGGAAAGCATGGTCGCAAAGGCGACAAAGACGGCAAAGGCAGGAGCAAAGGCAGTGGCATTGATCGTGTCTTGTCTCCTCCCCGTGCTCGTTTCCATGATCGTCATAATGTTGACGGTACTGCGCCTCCCCCAGTTCGGTCTTTGGATGAACGTCTTCAGGCTCCATTGGATGAGGAAGTGCAGGATAGATTCGGATATGAGTCTGGCGACGACGGTATTGGCAGCGATCGTGTTTTTTGGGCTGACTATGTCGACGACGACGTTGATGGCGGCTGTGTCGACACCAATGGCAATGAGCTCTCGGTTACGCAGATTGATCAGATTATCAAGGCCCTTTTGGGCCAGCTGGATTCCCTCCGCCTGCTTCCGCCCACCAGGTATGTTCGTGATCAGGTCTCGGGTCTCCAGGATGAGGTGCAGCATCTCCGTGCGCAGAAGTCCGACTTGCTTACCGTTCCCCATAAGCGTGCGTTTTATAAGCAGCGACATCACTGGGCCAGTAAGAAGTTTGAGAAGATCTCTAGCCAGATCCGCGAGTTCGATCGTAAGATCCTGGACCTTCAGAGCGAAAGGGGCGCCCTCTGCTCTCGTCAGGAGCGGGTCGCCCAGGATATGGCTATGTGGCAGTCTAAGTTGCAGGATCTCCCGTCGAGCGAGCCAGTCCCTGAGGGCTTCGCGCCTCCAGATCTGTCAGCCGTGGCGGACGTTTTCGCAGCTTCCCAGGCAGTGCAGAGAGACAAGAAGCTTGCTCAGGCGTTGCGGGACCTCCAGGGTATCGTTATGTCTGGCTATGCTCCTGTTGGTGTTGCCAGTGAACCTCGGTCCCAGTCTGAGGAGCCCAGGATGTCTGTCGACCAGCAAGGTTCCCCAACACGTGTGGCCAGGGCTCCTCCCCGTTCCTCTTCCTCACTGCCGCCTGCGCCGAAACGTCCTGCTCATGCCCCTGATGCTGCAGTTGATCAGTCGGGACAGTCAGGAAGGTTTTCGCCGTCGGCTGCCGCCACCTCTGGCCCCGCCGACACCCCAGCAGTGGTGGAGGGCTCCAATCCCAAGGGCCCGTCTGACCTTTAACACATCGGAGACCCCGCCCGACAAGTCAGCCTTCGGACAGAAGCCGCGTCGGGACTGGGTCATCGTTACTGTGAATGTTACCTCCTGGTCCAATGCTGATATTTTCCTGGAGGCTTATTCTGATCGGTTTGATGCTGCTGGTTTTCAAGAACTCTGTCGTACGGAAGAGGCTATCGAGTTCGCAGTCAACCGTGCTCACAAGCATGGGTTCCATGCGCACCTCCACCCCTCAGTTAGTACTCAGAAAGGCGGCTTGAGTTCAGGAGTGGGCCTTGTCTCGCAGTATGCCAGGTCTTTCTTTGAAGTCGTGCTGGATCCTATTGTCGTCATGCCCCCACCAGAGAGATTTATCCTGAAGCTATGGCATGGGGTCGTGGATTCAGGTACCCCTTGGGCCACTGTCTATTTGCATACGGGGGAAGGCGCCGAGGATCGCAATGCCCAGCTACTGATGCAGGTGGCAGCAGTCATGAAGACCATATCCACCCCCTTTGTTATATCAGGGGACTGGAACATGTCCCCCAAGGACTTGCAGAATACGGACTTCTTAACGCTCATGGGTGGGGTCATTGTCGCGCCAGATCGCCATGCCTATGAGTCCGCGGGTGCCCAGTCTTTGATTGACTACTTTGTGGTTCACCCCTTGCTCTCGGCAGCAGTTAAGTGTGAGGTCTGGGAGACCCCCCTGATCCCCAAGCATCAGCCTGTCGCTCTCACCCTTCGTGGAAATCTTCACTCTGATTTGGCATCGGTTTTTCGGCGTCCGCCGCACATCCCTGTCATTCGGCCAGTGGGGTGTTCAAAGTGTCCGCCTTCCTGGGATGCCTTTCCTGATCCTGACGCAGTCAACACTGTGGAAGATTTGGAGCGTCTTACCTCTTCTTGGCTGAAGACGTCTGCCCAGGAGTTGCTTGCCCTTTTCCAGTTGCTTGATCCGCAGGATTACACTAAGTGGGGTGAGCCCCCCTCGACTATCCATATTTCGGTTTCCAGACTGTTTCCTGGAGGTGTGCTTTCGTCATATGAGGGAAGGCTCTGGAGGTATCTCTCGAACCGTCTTGGCACTCTTCTATATCTTGCTGACAAGCAGTTGTGGCCCGCTTATCGGAGAGCCTGTCAAGCCCTGCGCGGGCATCGTCCTTCGCAGCGTGATGGTGGTCCTCCCCCCGATTGGTCACGGTGGAGGTATTATGCCAATAGGCTTGGTACCCTAGTTCTTGGTTCCATAGATTGGTTGCGGGGCGCCTTGGCTGAGTCCGCATCTGCTCTGGAACGCGCAGCTTCTGCACAGAGATACCAATCCTGGACATCATGGGCCACCCGATCTGTCCAGGAAGGGGGTTCTGCTGCGCACCGCTTCGTCAAGGGATCTATGGATTGGGCGTCCTTTGACAAGACCACCCCGAACCCAGATGCCCCAGTCGGTACGCCGCAGCATCATCTTAAGGCGCGAGAAGGAGTTTGGCATGCTATTTGGGAGCCCATGCAGGAGCACCCTGATGATCCTTGCCTGGCCCTGGATTGCCCGCCGTTTCCGCCCGACTGCCTTGCATCCTTGCCCCACCCGTCCTTGGACAAGTACAGGCAGATGTGTCGCAGGTACAAAGCTCGTACGTCGGTGGGATTGGACTCTATGCATCCACGTCACCATGCGCTGCTTTCCGACTCGTCTCTTCTTGCTTTGTTTGGTAGTTGGCGCGTTGTCCTGCGATTGGGTAGATTTCCTCCCATTCTCGCTGTGTTCATCATGAATTTGATCCCGAAGGTTGATGGTGGCGAGCGTACTGTTGCCCTGTTCACGACGTGTGTGCGCACGTTCTCTCGGTTCTTCAGGCACACGTACGGTGCTATGTGGGCGCGATTGCATCCTCGTCCGCACGTGCATGGTGTGCGCGGTCATTCCTGCCAAGCACGTGTGTGGCGCATGGGCGTCCTCACGGAGTTAGCATCGGCCAAAGGTTTGTCTGTGTTTGCACTCTTGCTCGACATCCAGAAGGCTTTTGAACAGGTTCGCCACAAACTTCTCATAAGACGTGCTAGTGAGTTTGGGTTTCATCCAGCACTCTTGAGAGTTTTCCTGTCTCTGCATCGTGCCCCACGTGTTGTCACGTTGCGGCGAATTGTTGGAGTGGGTCAGAGCTAGCAAGACTATTGTGGCAGGTTGCTCATTTGCCGATCTGTGTATGCGTATTTTATTGATGCCCGAGCTGGATTCGTTTCGTCCGTCGTATCCAAATATGCACCTCGGCCTCGTCGCCGACGACGTCCAGGTCCTGGGGATAGGCTCGGAGAGGGAGTTGCTCAAAATCAGTCCCGATGCTTCGCACCTTTTGATGAGCAAGCTGACTTTATCGGCATGTTTACCGCTCTCCGAGAAGAAAATCGTGCTCTTGGCTACCGACCCCCAGTTGGCCCAGAGCATTGCAGCTGAAACTCCACGCCTCGCTGGTGCCGTCAAGTTCTCGCGTCGCAACCTCGGGATTGACTACCAGTTACGTCAGGGGCGTCGTTCTCGTACCGTTCTCACTGGTCGATTGAAAAAGGCCAGGTTTAAGGCCCGACGCCTATTGAAGACAAAGAAGGCTGGTGCAAAGGCTGCAGGTATTGTAAACACAAACTTGCGGCCCACTGTCATGTACGGCATAGATGTCGTCGGTCTATATACTCATCAGATTCGTCAGGTCCGTGCTATATACCACGCTGGTTTCGGCACAGGTAAGCGTAGGTCTGTCACGATGGATTTGGCGTTGCATGGTGTTACCGACCCTGCTATCGACGCACATGCTGAGGTTATTCGTCTCTGGACTGTCTCTAGATGGGACTCTCTTCTTCCCGTTGGAATGATAGACCAAGTTTTCCGGTTTGCCTACGCCAAGGTGACGCCAGATACCCTGTGGACTGAATTGCAGGGCCCAGGACAGATTTTGGTTGCCACTATGCGTAGAATTGGGTGGTCTGCGGTTTCGCCCACAATATGGCGAAGTTCTCTTGGAACTGTTGTTGATATTTCGCCTACTTCCCCTCGTGAGGTGGTTGCACTAGTGATTCGCGACGCGTCTGTTTGGGCTTGGAAACAGGCCTCTGAGCGTCACCCATCCTTCAGTCACCTGTCTGGACCCCCTTTCCTGCCCCCTCTTCTTTCCCTGTTGTCTAAAAAGACTGAAGGATGGGGTGTCCTCCAGCAACGTGCTTTGAGGACTTTTATATCTGGGGGCATATACTTTAAACCTCTGTGCCCCATCTGCCAGGTTGTCCCCTCTGACCCCGTGTTTCACACCCTGTATGAGTGTGATGGGCCTGTGGAGTTTCGTCGTTGGTTCGGCCCGACTCCAGCCCTCACCCGTTGCATAGAGCAGTACCGCGAGAACCCTGTCTGGACCACTGCCATGGTTCCCGGCCCGCGCTATTGCTCCCTGCTTGCACCACCTTTCCCAGACCCTGTCTGGGAAGGGGCCACAGACGGCCCCTTTTTCTCGTCGCCTGCGTACGGAGACGGCTCGGGAAAGCACGGTCCCTCGCCGCTCACTCTCCGATGTGGATGGGGTGTTTGCTCATTTGCTTCGCGCAGTCGAAATGTTTTTGGTGAGCCCATCGCCAATGATCGGCTTCGGCTTAGTGCTGGCGCCTATGGCGTATATCCCTTTCTCACCCAGGATGTTTCAGGGGCTGAGCTTTACGCGTTTTTATTTTATCTAACCCATGCCGCCCCTCCGACTGCTATGAGTTTGTCACTGATGCCCAGTATGTCGTTGACGGTTGGGCAATGGGGTATGAAGCTACCACGCACGGATGGGCCACTCACGCATCCTTGTGGATCCGTGTCCACCGCGCGGCTTCAGATATCGGGTATCACCTAATTAAGGTCACCAAGGTTCGTGGCCACTCTACCTCTGCGGGTAATAAGCAAGCAGACAGACTTGCTAACCTAGGTGCAGACCTACACACTCTGGACACGGTCCTGCACGACCGTATCAAGCGCTCTGGTGTGCTGGTGCGCAATCTTGGTGTGTATATCGGTCATTGTATAGCATAGATTTTTAAGAATGTGCCCAAAAAGGTCTGGGCGGCGGATTCTGACGAGTCCCCTGCCCCCACGGCCCCATCCCTAGTCCTCTCTGGTGCCTCCTCTGGGGCCTTGCATGAGCATTTCTGGGACCCCTCAGCGGGTCGTTTTCGTTGCGTGAATTGTTGGGCTAGTTCAGTCTCCAAGAGCTACTTATTGCGTTCGCAGTGCTCTTCTCCCACTGGCGGGCGGCACGTGCTTAGGCGGCTAAATAATATCATAGTTTGTCGACGATGTGGCCGCTACTCGTGTAAGAAGGCAGTTGATTTAACTAAATCATGCACTGGGCCTCCTCGGGCCTCTAGCACCATCTCACGGCTACGGCGCATGCGTGATGGTCGTGACCCCCGCACTGATCAACCAGTCGGTGAGGCCACTGCGGTTGGCAATGTCAACGTTATATATGCTTTTCCTGCCCCTCACGATGTCTTTAATTTTCCGGCACTGTTTGATCCTGCATGGCTTTTAGAGACTCCGTAGATTTCTCGGGGTACACTTCGGAGGTGGGGTGGGTGTATCCTGGGATATCTGGTTTGTCTCGTCTGTCTGATGCTGGCAGGACTACTCGGATCCCCGACACCATCCGCCAGAAGTGTTGTTCTGCAGTGCTCCCTTTCCTGGCCGCTACAGAGGACACTTCTAGGAAGTAGGGTAGGCTTGGGATAAGTGGGTACAGAGGCGCTGAGAAGCAGGCACCCGTTCCGCCTGCGCCCACTTATCCCGTCTGTGTTTTTGTCATTCCCCCCCTGGCCAGGCTCGCAAAGAGAGAAGACTCTTGCCGCCCGCCGCGCGGGGATTTCTGTGCACGCCTCTCTGTCTGTGCTTTCTCTCTGACAGTCGGACAGTCGGACAGTCGAAATGTCTTATGGCTACACGCCAGGGACTAGTAGGCTGAGGATGAGTGGGTACAGAGGCGCTGAGAAGCAGGCACCCGTTCCGCCTGCGCCCACTCATCCTCCTTGCGCGCTGCCTTTGTCTTTTCCCCCGCCCAGGCTCGCAAAGAGAAGCAAAGAGAATTCTCTTCGCTGCCTGCGGGGGGCGGCATGCTTTCACGCCTCTCTAGCTTTGCTCTCTGAAGTGTCTGTGCCGATTCGTCAGGGTTCGTAGGCTAGGCTGAGGATGAGCGGGCACAGAGGCGCTGAGAAGCAGGCACCCGCACCGCCTGCGCCCACTCATCCTTCACGCGCCCCTTTTGTCCCCCCCCCCCCAGCCCAGGCTCGCGAAGAGAGGAAGGGCTCTCCGCCGCCGTGCTGCGTCTGTCTTGTTGTATAATGCCGATGCCTGGCCAGAGGTTGAGGCTGGAAGCCCAGGAGCCAGGACGCGGGCTTCAAATTGTCTCGCCAGTCTTGCCAGCATCGCGTGTTTCGGGCCCTCGATTTTTCGTTGTCCCTGTGTGCTCGGGTCGGTCCCTCGCTCGGCTCTGTTCGGGTCCTGGTCCGCCCCTCGCTTCTTTCGGCCCTCCTTCGGGCCCCTCGCTCGTCGTTTCGGCGCCACGGGCAGGAGTGTTCGGCAGACGATCACCCGCGCGCAAATCAAAAAAAAAGTGTTCACCTTGCCTTAGTGCCCTGTGGGTGGTGCTCACTGCCAAGCGCCCTATGATGCGATGATTGTTGCGACGCCTCGTTCGTGCCCCTTGTGCCGTGGGGGTAGCGCCCATTGGCTGGTGACTTATGATACACTTATGGTACGTACCGCATAAATTCTCCTTTTCTCAGAAAGAATTAAGATCCACCACCCCTCACCCCGGCTTTATCGGTACACCTCTTTGTGCTGCAGTTTACATTTGATTCTGCCCCGTCGCCCATCCGAAGTGTAACTCCATACCGTCCTAGCCCAGCCAGGTTCGACCCCCCCGCCATCCGACGCAAAAAAAAATCTATGCGCGCACACTCGTCTATCAATCTTTATAAGTTTGCATGAATCCCGTGCAAAAAAACGGACGAAGTGCACACGCGCGCGTCGTCGCGCGCGCATGCCGAAATCCTTTAGAAACCTTCGGTTTCGGAAGGATTTCAAAATCGAGTGTCCAAAAAGCATACAAAATATTGGGTTCCACAACGCGGATCTTCAAGAAAGATGTTCAAGCGTGTTTGCATCTTTTTTGCTACGCCTTCAGGAAATACTACCAAACGGGCTTCGCGCGCGCGCATGTCGAAAACGTTCGAACGTCCTTGCGCGCGTGCCTTCGCGAGAATCCTTATGCAACAAATGTGACGAAGTGCACGCGCGCGCGTCGCTCGCGCATGCCGAAATCCGTCAAAAAATCTAGGCTTCGTAACGACTGCATAACCGAATGTCCAAAAAAACGTTCAAACACACATGGTTTCGCAACATCAGCTGTCCAAAAAAAAACTTGCGTGCGCGCTCCTGCGCATTCTTAAGAAAAACCATAGGTTTTTCAACATGTTCATGGAATTCTGCCAAACGGGCCTCTGGCGCCGCATGCCGGCATCATTCGCACGCCCATGCGCGCGTGCTGGTGGGCACGATCCGTGTCAAACAAGACCATGCGGGCCACCTCGCGAGCCGGCCGCGCGCGCATGTCGAACTGTTTCCAAAACATTCATCACCTACGCCATCGTCGTCGGCGTGATCAGCATCAGCGCCCGCACTGGCCGCGCCGTCGTCGGCTCGAACACCGTCGCCAGCATCGCCACTGTCATTATCGTGTCTACCGTTGTCGGCGTTGCCATGATACCGCGCCCGCTCAAGTCGCCGACTCGCAGTGAAGTGCCCGGTGGAATGCGCCCAGCGGCCAGCGCCACCGCGGCCGCGTCGGTGACGCCAAACTAGCTGGCCGCTGTGCGCGCGTGCTAGGGTTGGCGCGGCCGCAAAAATATGCACCAGCCAATGCCAAGCATGCATCGCATTCGCCACCAAATGAGTTTTGGAAACCAAGTTGCGGAAGGGTGGGTGGGATGTTTGCAAGAGCATGGGATGAGTCAATTCGTTTGTTAAAATCAACGGCACCGCATAGACTGGTGCCTTGAGAGGTCCAGTGCTCTCTGACATCCGCCGATCGGATTTGTTCAAGCCACGGCCCCAGAAGTCCGGACTGCTTCCCTAGGGGTTACTGTTCGTCCCAGATCCACGTTTGATGGCCCCCGCGACCGGACACGGCCCCCGAGGGACGAAATCAAAGGATAATTGCCGGCTGGCCCTCCCCCCCCCCAAAAAAAAACGTCGGAGTAGAGGCCCCCTAGATGGAAACGGGTTTTGAGCAGATGGGGTCGGAGGATCGCGCCGACGCATCAACGTTGTTGGCGTGAAGAAAATCGGGCTCCGCCTCGAGCCGCATCGCCGATGCACCGGCGATGCGGCGCGATCTTCCGACCCCACTCGCTCGGGCCCCATCTGTGAGGCTTGGATGCAGGGCCAGTTTTTGGCAAAGATTTCGAGCCAGCCAAAACCGCAGCGGCAACGGGCCCCATCTCCTCCTCCTCCTCCTCCTCCTCCTCCTCCTCCTCCTCCTCCTCCCTCCTCCTCTCCTCCTCCTCCTCTCCTCCTCCTCCTCCTCCTCCTCCTCCTCCTCTCCTCCTCCTCCTCCTCCTCCTCCTCCCTCTCCTCCTCCTCCTCCTCCTCCTCTCCTCCTTCCTCTCCTTCCTCCTTCCTCCTTCCTCCTTCCTCCTTCCTCCTTCCTCCTTCCTCCTTCCTCCTTCCTCCTTCCTCCTTCCTCCTCCTCCCTCCTCCCTCTTCCCCTCCTCCTCCTCCTCCTCCTCCTCCTCCTCCTCCTCCTCCTCCTCCTCCTCCTCCTCCTCCTCCCCCTCCTCCTCCCCCTCCTCCTGGGAGGACCCCCCTCTGGGGCCCGCGCCTGCGGCCATCCCCTGGCGTGGCCAACCAGCCGTGGCCGAAACCGGCGGCCCGCCGCAACTTACAAGCAGTGACGAAGCGTTTCGGCTCGCCTATAGGCCCTTTGCGGTCTGCACGACATGTTCTCAGAACGTGTTTGGCTGAGACTGTCCTTTTTTAATTGGCACATCTGGTTGATGTTCTAAGAACACTGTCATTGTTATTCGTACAGCTTGGGGTTCTAAGAACATGTCGTGGTAGGCCTATAGGAATGCCGGGACGGTCGGTCCCTGCTCAAGGCTGGGAGAAGCCGCGCTCGGCCGCGCCCCTCGTCCGGAGGGCCGCCGCGCCCCATGCGGCCACGCGCAGGAGTGACCCTTCGCCAGAGGGGCCATCCGGTGCGGGCCCACGGGGGTCCCCGGCGGCCGTCGCGCTCGACGGGAAGTCGAGGCGGAGGTTTGTGGCTCGCCATCGGCCCCTCGGGGCCCCTTGCTGGGCCAAAGGGGGCGTCCACGGACGGATCGGCATGAGAGACCGGCCCCTCGGGAAGGGGTCGAGGGGCCGGGGGCCTTGTGTCTGGAAAAATCGGGGAGACGGATGTCTGGGCTTGGTGCGGGCCCAGGGGGGTCGTTTTTTCCAGGAGCGACTGGCGCGCTTGGATGTTGCCCCCCAGGGGCCCCCTGAAGCCGCGCACCAGATTACTCTCCGACGCATTCTGCACGTGCGCAGGCAGCGTGCACGCCACGCACGCCAGCAGGCTCAGTGCACTGCGCGTCTCTCAGTGCACTTTCGAGCTGATTTGCCCGGAGGTACTGTCGGCCGGACTGCGTATGCAAAAAACATGATACGTATCTTAGTTTTTCTTCGCACGTGCGTTTGCAGTCTGACGCACACACGCCATGGAGAATGTGGCTGACAACAAGATATGAGGCCGCGCACCAAAGGTCATTATTGCCTAAGGTCACTCCTGCGTGTGGCCGACTCCTTCCCAGCGAGCCATGGACGTGGAGGTCATAAACCGTTGCGCCATCCCCGCCGCCACGCTGGCCGCGGGGCGGGGGGGGAACGGGCGTGGAAGAAAAATATCGTGGCGGTCGGTTTTCGCGTATCCTGATTTCGAGTCTGGCCAGTTTACTTGCATGGCACGTCCCCCCCCTGGCCCCCCCCCCTCCTCCGCCGCTCTGTCAAGCAGCGCTGGGCCGAAAAGGCGTGCAAGTGAGTGGGCCGAAAAGCGCCATGCGAAGAGACACCCTGCTCGCCTCCAGGGTGCCCTGGGTTTCTTGGGATGGTTTTGCGATGGAAAGCGTGGCATTGCCGCACCAAAAATCAATGGACGTCCTGGGGTCTCAGGGTTGGGTTTCTTGTGGAAGGTTTCTTGTGGTCGGTTCCATACCGTACCGATGCCCTTCCCTCGTTTCCCCTTCTTTAGGGGCCTCCCGGGAGGCCCTCGTCGCCACGGCTGGATCCGCCCCGAGATTTTCGGGTTGGAGCGCACCCCCGGAGAGGGCCGTGGAGCAGCGGTACATCCTTACCTCTGTGCTCCGTCCGGGGCGGGGGTTTTTAGAGGGCTCGGGGGTGCGACGGAAGAGGTAAGGGGTTCATACTGTGGAGGCCCATGCCAAGAAACACCCTGCTTGCCTCCAGGGTGCCCTGGGTTTCTTGGGTTTATTGGTTTTGCGATGGAAGGCATGACGCTCCCACGCCAAAAATCAATGGCAGTGACCAGTTTCTTGTGGAAGGTTTCTTGTGGGCTGGCCTCCATTGTATTCTAGTTCTTGATGCCGCAGCTAGGCGTGCATCGTGACAATGGTCATTGGAGCTCTGCCAAACCAGCCGCCGTGCTGGAAGCATTTGGTACAAAACCATGTTGCTGAGTGCGTTGGGCCTCTTGGGCCATCCACGAGTGCACCCAAGACGGCCCACGAGGCCACCAAGAGGATTACAAGACGGGCCTTTGTGATCCCTTTCAGAGCATGTTGGAAGCTGGGGTCAAGCAGAGCGCGCCCTGCGTCTCCAGAAAAATTCCAGAAGCGCCCAGGAGTGCCCAGGAAGCACCCAGAAATACCGTGAGTATGGGGCCTTGGGCCTTCCGAGCATTCACAGCATTCAGTATTGAGGATTGTGGACGGCCTAAGGGCATTCCTTTCAGTGCTTGCGGTACGGTGGCGGATGCTCTACAGACGAATTGCACACAGAAGTTCCATTATGGCCGGCTGGTGCGTTCGTTTCGTACGTTGCAAGTTCAATGAACGTCGTTACACCTTCATTCTTGATTCTCCACCGACTCGAGATCTGAATCTTCTGACCACAGGGGGCGCGTGCCAATACCCCACATGGCGACTCGGGTATTTCAGCGTTCACTTCGTGATCGGGAATAGCTCCAACGGCTCGGCTGCCAGTGGCCGAAGATGCGGCGCCAACCCTACGCAGCAGTCAAGTCAGACCCAAGTTTGATAGGGCTCTCGCATTCCTCGTCCTCATCCTCACCCCGATACTCCAGGCCCCACGGGAGATGGGTGGAGGACACCACGTTCGTTTCTGACTTCCCCCGGGGCGGCGGTGCGAGCGTCTAGCTGAGGCCGATCACGGTAGGTCTTGGGCGGGACACGAGCCAGAAGCTCGGGCGAGGAAAGAACCAGTCTCCGTCTCGCATGGTGCGTGTCGCGCACCCAGACCCGCGAGCCTTGCACGTCGTACGCTTGGCTGGTCGAGAGGATTCGACGTCACCTCCAGATCTTAGAATCTAGAGTTAAGTCGGGCCTGTCGCTCTACAGGGGAAAATTCAAAGATTGTCCAGAAAATAGTATGGGGACGATGTTTCTGGCATGTTTGGGCTGTTCTTGTGCATTTGCTGAGCCTGCTTTTGCTTCTCCTCCCAAGTCCGCCTGTGGGAGGACACGTCGGGTCCAGATCTGGAGACCCTGAGCCGAGCGCCTCGGGGAGCGCCGAGGCATCCAGCAGTCAGAGGGGCCACCCACGTCTTGCGAAACGCCGTCCCCGTGCCGCCGCCGGCGCACGAAGTTCTCGCCCCGTGCCGCGCGCCTGCCCAGGCCGCCGGCGGCCTGCTGCTGATGTCCGAGCACAGCAAGACCGCGGGGAGGCTCCTGTGCTTCTGCGGGGCGCAGACGGGGATGAACCTCTACATGAAGCACGTGCTGTCGCACCAGGCCATCTCCGAGGGACGGGACGGCTTCCCGGCGGCGTGCGCCGTGACCGGGCTCCAGCAGCTCACGGGCTTTGCGTTGATGGTGGCCTGGATGGGCGTCTCCAGGTTCACGTCGTACCAGTATGTGCCGAAGAGGCTGAACTCGCGGATGGATTATATTGCGGTGTTCACGTTCTCTTGTGCTTTCATTGCGAATATCGCCCTCAACAATTACAGCGTGTCTCTGATGCCTATATCTGTGAATCTGATCGTCCGCTCATGCTTCCCGCTGCCGACCTTCTTCGCCCAGAAGTTGGCAAGTTGGTGCACGGGAGAAAGAGCAAAGGATTCTAGTACGTTAGAGTTGTCGCTAATGTTGTTCGGCTGCTTCTGTGCGAGCCTGGCTGTGTTCGCGAAGATGCAGTCGGCTGACACCGTTGGCAGTGACCACAAGAATCTTGCTTGGGGCGTCATTGTCTGTGTCATCTCCTGCTTCGCTGGCTCCTCGAACCTCGTCTTGGCCGGTATGATGGGCACAAACTTGAAACTGAACGAGTTCGACACGATCACCTACTCGGCGTTGCCCGCAGCCGTGTTGCTAATGCCTGCGATGTTCATTTCCCATTACGTACATTGGGATATTGGGGTCTGACATGTTTGCTGCAACCGCCACCCAAGCCAGTCTAGTTCACTCTAGCTCGGTAGCAAGCCATGGGAGCTTGGTATACCCTTTTTGTTCCGTCTTTAGCGTCGGCTAGCGTCGATAAGCGCCTGGGAGTCGATGAGATAGCGCCGATTTAGCGTCAGCTAGCGTCGATTTAGCGTCGACCAGCGTCGATTTAGCGTCGACTCGCTAGAGCCGGCCAGATGGTACGGGAGGCTCCCATGAGTTGCCACCGAATTCTAGTTTGGGTGAGGGGTCTTCGTGGTAGTAACTGGATCCTATGTTTCAGAATTCCGACGCTCGCTCCCGCAATGGGAGCGACCAGGGGGGTGTTTGAGCCTAATCACCCGCCCCTGAGGACGACGGCGTCATGCTGACAGACTGGGAGATTCTCAGGGAGGTGTGGGAACTAAATCCAAGCGTTGTCTATTTGGCCGCTCTGTCTGGTGTCTTCGCCTTGGCGTTCAACCTGCTCAAATACGGCATTGTGCAGCGGCTGTCTGCCACCCATACGGCATTCGCAGGCAATTTCAATAAAGCGTTCACGATTGTCTTGGCCACGGCACAGGGCTTGGAACCGTACCCGAGCGACTATTGGGGTTGGGTGATGGTGGCCTCGTACGTTGGGAACATCAGCGCGTTTACGGGCTACAACATTGCGAAGATCCAGATCGCGCGCGCCCAGGAGGAGGAGCCCAGAACACCCCGAAGCGCGTGCAGCTTCGAGAAGGAGCCGCTACAGTCGGAGAGCACAGAGGACAGCTTGGAGAAGCACACCTCCTCAGAAGAGGACGACTGGGAGTCGTGCAAGGTCAAGTGGACCCCTCCAGCAAACGGCTTCCTCCTCACCCCCGGCCTTCCGACAGAGGAATATCACCCTATTTGAGAAAGTTATTTGAGCAGCGTGTCCTCCGTAATGGTTATGTAAAATATGTCCCTGAACAGCTGTTCTGTTGATTCCGTTTATTCTTTCCCCAAGCAGTATTTGCATTTAGGGACGCTTACGTCTGGTCTCAAGAACTGGACCTGTGTGTCGATCTGGCGGCTCCATGTTGGCCGTCGCCGCACCGTCGCCGCCTCGTCGCCGCCCGGCGCCGTTGCTTCGCCGTCTTGTTACGCTGTTGTGCGTTGCATTGTCTTGCGTTGCTCTTCGATGCTCTGCATTGCAAAGCATTGCATTGCCTGGCATTGCTTTGCTTTACTTTGCTTTGCATTGCCTTGCGTTGCTGTGCCTTGCTTTGCCGTGCTTCGTATCGCTACGCCGTGCTGAACATAGCTCTACGTTGCTAGTGAATTGCTTGGCAGTGCTCCTCATTGCTTCGCATTGCAAAGCGAAGCATTGCATTGCTTGAAATTATGTTGCATTGATTGCATTGTTATGCGTTGATGATTTCTGCATTGCTTTACCTTGCTCTGCATCGCTACGCCGTGCTTTCATTGCTCTGCATGTCTGTTCATTGCTATGCCATGCTTGGCAGTACTCTGACTTGCGGACCCTCCCTCCTCCTCCCTCCTGATTTGCGTTGTTGCCACTTGCTTTGCATTGTTATCGTGGCTTTGCGCTGCGTTGCGGGGGTTCGCACCTCATTACAGTACTGTACATTGTGTCGCATAGCTTTGCAGCGCTTTGCATTGATATGCGTTGCTTTACATCGCAGCGCACTCATATGTATGTATGTATGTATGTATGTATGTATGTATGTATGTATGTATGTATACATCTTTGTATACACACAAGGGAAATCCCGAGCCCAGGGCCCGGGCCGGCCCCTCCTTTGTATTTCGGTGCCCCTTCTCCCGGTGACTTCCCCGGGCGACCCCAGGAGGTCCCAGGAAGCCCGAGAATCTTCCATGACCACCCAAGACAGCCTGCGACTGGCCCTCAAGGCCCCACAAAGCGCCCCACGAGAGCTTCAAGACGGCCACAGATGACACCGCGACAGCTCCAAGGCGCCCCATGACGCCCCCAAGAGCCCCCGGAAGCAAAAAACGTTTCGTTCCCTTGGGAGAACGTATATGCTTAGCAGATTCTCCTCTTGGGTTTTCAAAGCGTCCACGGCCCAGGAGGCCTCCAAGAGAGCCCCAGGACGGCCCAAGAAGGATCCAAGACGGCCCAGGAGGCTCCCAAGATGGCCCAAGAGAGCCCAAGGACAGGCCAAAGAGGGGTCCCAGAGAGGGAAAGCCAACTTCAATGCTTGAGCCTTGGCCCCATTAGGCCCCCAGGAGGCCCCAAGGGGCTCCCAAGAGGCCCCGAGAGGCTTCAAAGGGGCCCCCAAGAGGCCTCCAAGAGGCCAGGAGGCCCCCAGGTAGCTTCCAGGAGACCCCCAAGAGGCCCCAACCGAGCTTGTGAGAGACTTCCCAAGAATCCTTAATATACATCTACGAGAGGCCACTGGTCTACAACCTACGCCCGTCCCTGGGGCGCCGCCTGATGGACACACGTTTTGTTTCTATGTGGATGGATGTGTAGGCATGCACGTACGCGTGGGCCCACCTTATGCAGCTGCGTGTAGCGCAGGGCGCGGCTCTCTTTCTGTTGTTTTTGTGATTCCTCTCTCTCTCTCGCTCTCTCTCTCTCTCTCTCTCTTTTCTCTCTCTCTCTCTCTCTCTCTCTCTCTCTCTTTTCTCTCTCTCTCTCTCTCTCTCTCTCTCTCTTTTCTCTCTCTCTCTCTCTCTCTCTCTCTCTCTCTTTCTCTTTTCTCTCTCTCTCTCTCTCGTTCTTTCTCTTTCTCTCTTTGAGTACTGCGCGACGCGGGGTACTGCGGAGCTAGCGCGCGCAGGCATGCTGAGCTCCCTGTGGTGCGCTATCCGCGTGAAGCCTTGAAGGGGGTGGCCGCCGCGCGAACGCACCCACTGAGGCCGTAGGTGGAGCTCTCTGTTGAGCGTGATCCGCGTGTAGCGGCGTCGAAACGGGCGTGGGGACGCCATGCGAATTTGCCCATGGGTGCCACAGATGGAGACCCTTGCGGGGTACGATCCGCGTCACGAGTGTGCCGAAATATGCGGAGGGACGCCATGGGATCCCTCCTGTTGGAGCCGTCGGTGGAGCTCCCAATGGGGCACGATCCCTGTGAGGGGTGTGCCGAAATTGACGTGAACACGCGATGCGAACATTCTCCTGGCCGTAGATGGAGCTCCATTTGGGCCACGAGCCACGCCAGGGCGGTAGAGAACAGCTGCCCATATGTTCCCTGAGACCTACCTGGGAACATCCGGGAGGAGGGGAACGAGGAGGAGGAGGAGGAGGAAGAGGAGCAGCTGCAAATGGAGAAGAGAAGGAGGAGCAGAACATGGGACAGAAAGAAAAGGCCGAGGGACGAGAGAGCGAAATGGGGAGGGGAGGGGGCCGAAGCGGATGGAGACTCTGCAACGCCCACATGCAGCGGGCTTCGCAAAGTCGCCGAGCAGACGAGCAAAAACGAGAGCCGTAAAAGGTGGCGCAGCCTAAGTGCGCGCGAAGCGCGCGCGTGGTTCTAGTATGTACAGATGTGTGTGTATGTGTATATATATGTATTGTTTGATTGATTGATGAGTTTATGCATTTATGTATGTGCTTATATATATATGTGTATATATATATGTATATATATACACATATACATATGTACAGAAGCATACATGCATGCATGCACACATACATACGTGAGCGGCGACACCCGATCATACCCTACCGATAGGAGGCCGCCCAAAGTTGAAGTCCCAATGTTTCGGAACCTCATACAGGGCATAGCACATGCCGCGCTATACTGTCTTAGAGAAGCGCCTCGGCCTTCCAAGAAGCCTCCTCAGAAGCCTGCGGTACGCTAACAGGACATGCCTACTACGTAAAGGGCCGCACCCTTCGCACGAGCCCACACTATTCAACAGCGCGCACTGCTAGATATACTCAACTGGAGAAGACCAGTTCCCCCCAGACCCCCTCGAGCAATGAAAATATCACGGCGGGAGGTTTTGCCCCATTTTCGGTCTCCGGGGGCCCTTAACGGGCCTCTTGACCGTCATAAAAGGACTCGGAATGAGAAACCGGTCCACGGGAAGGGGTCCAGACCTTTGGGGGTCGACGCTGTGAAAAATCACGACGTCGGGGGTTTGGGCCTCAGGTTTCATCTCCGGTCGACCGGAGACCGGAGATTCCATGGGGAGTCATCTCCAGTCGACCGGAGATGGGTCCTGGGAGGATCTCCGGTTTCCCGTCGACCAGAGAGGAATCTACAGAAGGTCGATGGACGGGAGACCAGTGTCCGTCAAAGATGAGAATGGCATTTTGATTCCCGTAATTACGTATTCGCTAATTTTGCATTTCCACGCCGCGTTAGCTCAAAGCGTTCTATCGGGTAAAGTCGACACCCACCTGGCCAGCACGGCCTTGTCTGTGACTGAACGGCTGGCTCAGCTGTGACGCCCGGATGATGGCGAGTCTCGCCTCGTCACACTGACGGCTGCCCAGCGCTCGATGCTGAGCTTGCGACACTCGTGGGCCCGATTGTTGTAGCAGCGGCATTGCGTGTGTCGTATATCACTGTTGAGCAGAGATCAGCGTATCCTGGGCCGTGCCGTTTCAGCGCGCAAGCGCCTTCGCCCATTTGCAGTGCGCGGGGCGCGCGCCTCGCGCTGGCGGCCCCGGCTGACGTCGACTGCCCAGGCGCGCGGATGCGGGAAAATATGTTACAACCGTCGTCGGGGCCTCTTTTCGCTGGCCTGCCTTGGGCGGCCAGTCTGCATCGCTGCCAAAGGCGGGGGGGTCTCTCGTGACTGTCCCCACATTGCGAGATAGGAATATTCGTTCCGAAACGCGGCAGAGTTCGCAATTGTCGCAGCGGCATGAAAACGATTAAGCTTACCAAGAGACCAGCGGCGCAAGGCCGCTCGCGGCCGAGTGGCCGCGCGCGCGCAACCCACGCGCAGTCCACTGCTCCAGAGATCCGAGGAGATCCACGGGATCGCAGAGCAAGCAGGAATTTAATTGATCTGGCGCGCATGACAAAGGCAGACATTTAGAATTTCATGCTCAAGATCGGTTTCGCCAAAAACTTGTATCGGGGACAGTGCCCCGCTTGTAAGGAACGAGTTTTGGGTGCCAAGCAGTCTCGACCTGATGGGAACCAGCTTGTTTCACCGTTCCTTGTCGCATACGTGCAAACATCGTGAGTTCCCGTGGGGGGGAATGTCCGCTGCTTCATCATGGGCGACGTCGGGCGCCTCTCCAACAGTAGCTCATGAACTTACGATGTCTCTGCGCGACGAACTCCGTGACGAGCACCACTCCTTTGACGAGGCACACGCGTGCGTCTGTGATTCACGCGCACGGGTTGCTACATAATGCCCACGAGCCGCGCGCGCAGCGGGAGGAAAAGGACATGTAAAACGGCGGCGACACATGGGGGCCAGCGGACAAGTGGCATCAGATTGAAGTCGACGAGACCTCCTTCGGCAAGATGCTACTCCGCCCTCAACGCAGCGCGTCTGGCAGGGCGCTCGCTCGGGGAAATGGATTGGCATTCTTCGTCGAGGCCATCCAGGACCCCCCATGCCCACCCTTTTAAAAAAAAACCGCCCACCCTTGCGAGGTCACCGGGCCCAGGGCCGCCAACAAATGATCAGTGGAAGTCCATCGCCAAAAATTACTTGCATGATCGCCGCGCTGTCATACACACTGGCCCAGCAAGAGCTTGCCGCGAAATCGACATTCCGGGAAGTGTGCGAAACCAACATTCCAGGACGGCGCGGTACTCAACAAGGAAATTTGGCGTTTTACGTGGATAAAGCCTGAATACGTGGACAGCACAGCACAGCGTCGATGGCAAAAAGGCT